AAAATCACCCCACTGGACATAAAACCCAAATTACCTGTTTGATATACAGAGAAGGGTAGAGTGCTTTCCTTAAGGACAAGAGGGGGGGAAATGAGGAAAATGAGTGAATAGTGGGACATGAAGTGACCACAGGCACTGCCAGGAAGCCAGCAGCCTTTCTCTTGTGGCTGCAAGCCCACCAGGTACAAAGTGCAAAGGGTGAGAGGATGATGTGAGTGTTTAGAGCAGGAGTCCACGAACTACAGCCTGTAGGCTGAGCCCAACCCTGCACCTCTTTTTCATGTGGTGTGCAAGCTGGGAATGGTTTTTACAGGCGAATATTTGGTACTGATTTGATGATTGAGAACACTAACTTCAAAATTTAATTAAGTGAAATGTTAACCCCTTCACCAAAAAAAAAAAAAAAGAAGAAGAAAAGAAAAGAAAGAATTCCATTCCTTTCTTAGAAGGCTTATATTATTTTAAAAAATGTACTTCAGCCCTGACCAGTGGGACTTGGTTGGGTGTCATCCTGCAAACCAAGAGGTTACGGGTTCGATTCCTGGTCAGGGCACATGCCTGAGTTGCAGATTCATTCTCTGGTCGAGACACGTGTGAGAAGTAACCAGCCGATGTTTCCCTCTCATATTGATCTTTCTCCTTCCTCTTCCCTCTCTCTAAATTTAAATAAATGAAATCTTGTAAAAAAGATTGTACTCCATCACTATTATTGTATTTTAAATTTCAATGAGAAATATGTGGAGATTTTTTAATGTGAATACCTATGTGATATAATTCAGTTTTCCTCTTGGCCCACAAAGCTTAAAATACTTATTCACCAGCTCTTTACGCAAACATATTTGCCAGTCCCTTGTTAAGAAGAAAAGCAACCAGACAATAGGAAGATAAACAGGGCTATGGGAGAGGCTAAAAGAGAAACTGAGGAAAAGTGAAGTGATGTTACAAATGAAATGAAAAAAGTAAAATGTTCTTTCTCTCATCTTGAGATGCACATACATAAAATCTTTAAGGACTAGCCAGTCTCTGCCTTCTTCAGCAAAAAAAAAAATTCTCTTCCGTGTTGAAACACACATGGCACATGCACACACGGGCGCACACACTCGCAGTGGCCGGCTACGAGGACAACGTGACCCTGAGCCCAAATCACAGCTCTGCCTCTCACTCATTGTGAGGTCTGGTGTGTTATTTCCCCTCTGATCTCACCATCATTTCCTGAGGTTGCTGGTGGAACTTGGAATCATTAAAGCCGGTGGGTTTTCCCACTTATCAGCACACCGTAAAATCCCAACCCCGTGTTTGCCAGATGACAGTGGAATGCAAAACTTTGTCTCTGGCTTCCACATGCTGCTCTCACAACTCTTCAGCGATTCCACTTTTGTCCTGAAGTTCTCTCTATAAATATAGGCCTTGCCCAAGGTTCTGTCCTCAGCTCTCTACCCTCCTTTTTTGTTGTTTTTTTTTTTTTACATTTTCCTTTAAAGTGCACATTCCTTCTCCAATCTGATCACGTCATCCCTTTTCATTACCCTGACAAAGGTCTGTCTGTTGCATACAAGGCGTTTATGTCCACACCTCTTCCCCACCCTCACTAGCAGATACACGCTTCTTTCTGTGTCTTCTTCTAAATGCTTGCTCCCGATTCCAGGGCTCACTTCAGCTTGCCTGCTTTGTCTACTAAGTCCTGTGAGCCCCCTCTCACTCTTGCTCGACTAACTTCTAGTCCTTCATGACCCTGTCTGTCTTGACTCCTCCCAGTTAAATTATGGTAAGCATTTAAACATTGTTTTAAGCTTAATATGTGGAGAAAATCTGATTATATTTTGGAGCACTTCACATTACTATCAGGGCTATCAGTCACAACTCCAGTGTGAAAACATTCCCAAACACTGAGACCTTAAAAATAAAATTGATCAGTGTAGTGTAATGCATCAAGTATGCACACATATCTCAATACTAAAAATACTCCAGTACCCAACAAGAGATCCTGCACTTTTTGGACAGGCTTTCTATAACTTAAGCAGATCATGCATGTCACTCCCCTGCTTCAGACTCTGCCTGGCTTCCTGTTTTTCTCACAAGACAGAGCACATCTAGCTGGGGGGGCTGGGCCCTCCAAGAAGCCTCCACCCACCACCCTCTGCTGCCCTGTGCAAGGGGCATTGGCCACACTGGAACTCTTTGTTCCTTGGACATGCCAATCCGATTTGGCTTTGCACCTTTGCACCATTGCCTGGAGTAGCTTCCACATTTCCATAATGTGCTCAAGCTTGTCATTTAAAGTGCAGCTCAAATGTCATGTCTACAGAAAGGACTTTCCTTATGACCTTATCTAATGCTATCCTTTCCCTCTGTCAAACGAACGCATTTTGCTTCCTTTATAGACTTTTTGGAGTCTGAAACTCTCTGGCTCCTGTATTGGTGTCCTTATTCTTTTCTGTTTGTAATTCCTATAATGTAAGCTTAATGAAAGAAAAAATCCCGACTGTTTGGCCATTGCTAGTAGGCCTTGTCCGTTGTCCTGCCCCATATGCTTTCCTTCAGGATGTCAGTCTGAAGGGTCTGATTTATTCTTTGCCAGGAATGGGCTGCTTTGGTGTAACAGGGTTACATGTTTGGGGTTCAGAGAAATTCTAAGCATGCATGCTTAATATAGAGAGGAAGGTATGTTTGCAAAGCAAGCTTTGTTTGCAGAACAGTGGGTGCTGGCACAATGCTAAATATTAGCACAGTGATTCTGAGTTCAACAAAACAATTATTTTGTAGGCTCAGCAAATTACAGTCAAGAATAGCCCTAAAAAGTGGATATTTAGCATTGTTTTTGTTTGAAAAATTAGCATAATATTCTTATGAGAAATTCCCATCAGTGTATTCAAATCTGAGTTCATGATCTTTATTTTCAAAAGTGTTAACTATTTAAAGAGAACCATTGAATTTCCCATATGTATTGAATTCTGGTACATTTTAAACAAAAGTGTTCTCTTTAAATCTTCAGTGGAAAATAACATTTAGAACACTGGAAGACCTTAGTAATTTATATTTGACCTTTACTTTTTGTACACTCTGTTAACTTTTCCAGATTGTTAATCAGGTTGTTAATTGTGTGTGCTATCTGTAGGTTATCTCGAATCTCATCTCATCTCTTTAACATGTAACAGAAATAGTGTATGCATAGTTTAGGGTACCATTCAAATGTACCAATTTATCAGGTTTTACTTTGTACCTATATTATAAGAAAATAATAACAAAAATTATACATATATATCTATATATACAGTGTGGGGCACAAAATAGGTTACAGTTGTAAGTACATGAGTTTATTCTTGTGTTATTATTTATTAATTATTGTATTATTTTCCTGAGAATAACTGTATACCTACTTTTTTCCACCCTGTATATGTGGTCAAAGCTTCAGATATGTATATATATCTATGTATATAGAAAGAGACATAAGCATTTGCAGTTTTTCTTCAAATATTGTGTTGTATAATTTCACATAGAGAAAATTAGAAAAAATTCTCTCAGTTCAGTGAGTCCCATTCTGCATCTCATACCTCCTACCTCTGCTCTACATGATATCCCATGTCTTTCCTCCTTACTAGCATATTGTAAAGTCATTAGAATTCTGTGGGTGGCAGAGATGCATTGGAGAACAGCTCATAATGAATATAAACCCCTTGAGGGAACTTTAGAGTTTATCTTGATATATATACACATACATGCACACATAATTTAGTATAACAGAAGGTTGGATATAGCATTTACTTATGAAAATGTATATCAACATATATAGCCCTACTTGTAACTAAACTTTGTTACATAGTTTCGCTGGAATCTCAGCAGGGTACCATTTATGATCTGGCTAGAGCACTGATTTGCTTACAGGACCTGGAACCTCATACTTAAATACTTTTTTTTCTTGTTCTACATCGTGGATCAGGTAGTGGCATCTGCTGGCTATGAGTGATATTGCTTTCTAATTCTATAGGCAGCCTGGCTTTTCATAACAATACATCCCTGGAAAGCAGGTTATGATTTTTTAGAACAAACATATGCCTGAAAAGATAAATAACAAAACAGAGTGGCAATGACAGTTTACACATTGGCTGGCATGTAGCATGTGGACAGAAGAAGAAGAACTTTTATTGTGAATTTACTGTGCCTATGTGGTGTGTGTTCTTTCAGATGCTATCAGAGAGGTTAAGAGATCAGAGAGATTAAGAAATGTATCCAAGTTCACAGGCTGGGAAAGGCAGGAATCAGTGAAATCTGATTCTGCAGTACATAGTTAGGATGACCTAGTTTTTGAGGCAAACTCAAAAAGAGTATTCAGAAAAAGATCTGGGTGGAAGCAAATACTCTCATATACTGTTTCAGTTTTCTGAAGGACAGTCTTCCCAAATGCATCAAAAGCCCTAAAAATGTGCATGCCATTTGACTAAGCAATTCCCATTCTGGCAATTTATCCTCAGGAGATAATGATAGAGATGCTTGAAGATTTAGTAATGTATACAGTTATTGCATCTCTATATGTGCATACCATATATCACAGCATCTACTATGATCCATGAAAACTAAATGCTTTAAATACCAACCAGTAACAAAGGGTTGTTAACATAGGTTGTAGTATATTTCTATAAAGAAATCATATTCATCTATTAAAATATGTTGTATAGGAATATTTATTGACATGAAAAATGTTTATACCATATTATTAGGTAAAAGATCTGGTTTTTGATGCTGTATGATGTTACTTCCAAGTAAACCTCTTTATATTAATACATCTGTGTGAATTTTGTGGGCTTGTAAAGAAGATACACCAGAGACTAGGAAACTGGAATTGGAAGGGACTCATGTCCTTTTTCTAAGTAGATCCTGGGAAGCAGTAAGATCCTATCATTTCTTTGAGGAATGAAAAGACTGTGACAGGCAGAGCTGGATGGCTAGATTGGAGACAGCCCACACAGTTCCCATGCACTCCATCATTGGGCTGGGAGCTGCAGAATAATTTGTGTGTCCAAAATACTAAAATATGCTGGCAATGAAGACACCATTACCGTAAGGGCTGACGATAGTATGGACACATTGGCATTAGTATTTGAAGCCAGGAATCAAGAAAAGATTTCAGACTATGAAATAAAATTAATGGAGTTAGATGTTGAACAACTTGGAATTCCAGAACAAGAGTATATCTGTGTATTAGATGCCTTCTGGTGAATTTGCATGTACATGCCGAGATCTTAGTCATATTAGAGATGCTGTTATAATTTCCTGTGTAAGAGACAGAGTGAAATTTTCTGCAAGTGGGGAACTTGAAAATGGAAATAATAAGTTGTCACAAACAAGTAATGTCGATAAAGAAGAGGAAACTGTTACCATAGAGATGAATGATCCAGTTCAGCTAACTTTTGCACTGAGATATCTGAACTTCTTTACAAAAGCTACTCCACCCTCTCCTACAGTAACACTCAGTATGTTTGCAGGTGTACCCCTTGTCGTGGAGTATAAAATTGCTGATATGGGACATTTAAAGTACTATGTGGCTCCCAAGATCCAGGGTGAAGAAGGATCTTAGGCATTTCTAAAGTCTGAGGAAGTAAAACTAAGCTCTTTGAGAACTGCTTCTGAGATTCCAGCATGCCCTTAAAAGTTTCTTCTGTCACCAAATTTGTGCCTCAGTACATATGTAGATAATGTTTTCTGTAAATAACCTTTTTCCCCCCATGCTCTACAATTTAAAGGATAGTCTTAAGTCAAATCTGGTCTTATGAGCCTAGAATTACTTCTGCCTTATTTAGAAATACTCTTTAGGATTTTTATAACAAAGGGTTTTAACTATTAGTGCAGTTTTGAGAATTATGTTTTCAATTTAAATAAAAGTTATATGAATTTCAAAAAAAAGAACACCAACACTTGTTATCTTTGAGAGATAAGATAATAGGTTACATTTATTTTCTTCTTTTCCTTGTCTCTATTTTATAAATTTTCTTTAGGTAAAACACATTATTTAAAAAATTTAAAACCGTTTGTATCTTAAGAAAGGGATTGAGAATAGCAACTATGAGGCCCAAAATACAGAGACCCAACAGGGATGGAACTGGAGAGGGACAAGTCTCTCCAGTGGGAAGTTAATGAGATGTGACATTAAACAAGATTCAGCGCCGGACGAAGGATGGTATCCTGGTATACTGTAAAGAGAGATGCAAGAGGTACGAGGTACCAACAGGTGCACAGGTTGCATCAGAGATGTTAAATGGCTGTAATGGTTCCTGGAGAGGAGCCAGACACCACAATGTCTTCATAGTTTTTGTTGTCGAGAAATTGGTGGACCAGGAAGAGAACTAACAACAGGAATTAGGGTTGGCTGTGAAAAGTGGATGCAAACTCAGGGCAGTATTAAGTTATTGAACAATACTGTCCCTCCTGGGGGCAGTCCTTCACATTTCCTTTTGATCATGCTCCAGATAAGTTTTGTTCCCCCTCCTGGCACCACACTAAAGATTTAGAGAACCATTTGTCTGCATAGATGAATCACAATATCTAGTATACTAAAGGTTGCTTAAGGCTACTAATGTACTTGGGACAAGTTGGGAAACAAAAATAAAACCAAGCCAACAGATGGAACCAATATCATTTTTTTTACTTATTTTTTCCCTAGAAGCAAAGGTGATTAAATTTATTCCGTTGACTTCAAACATTTCTCTAAATTGGGATCATTTGCAACATCTAGATGTATTAAAACTTGCAAAAGTTTTTGAATGTAAAGTTTTGGAGAGTAAAAGAACATTAAACCTAGATCTCATTGCACTGCCATGCCTGATGGAGAAATTCACTTCAAGTTCTTAGATCTCAGCTCCCTCTTCTATAAAGGGAGATCAAATGGGATAAAGGTGGAGGGTCCTTTCAGCCTGGAAACTTCAGGACTCTCTGGACCTGAAGCTTTGCTCTTATTTTCATACCCGTATTGTTTTTCATGTCTACCCAACCCTGGCCCCCAAATACAAGAGCCACAAAAGGCAAATTCAATCACAGAAGGTCAGACTGAGGGGGGAGCTGGCTCTTTACTCTTTTCCTGGAGTATTTTCATATTTGTTTATTCAAATATGAAACTGCTTATATGAAGCTTATATGAAACTGCTTATGAAACTGCTCTGGAAAATGCTTCAAAAGGAGCATTTTCATATTTGTTTATTCATCTACTCATTCATTCAAGAAACTTGGACTACCCAGTTTTGTCCCAGATATTGTGCTAAACAAAAGCACAATATCATAGGTAAACAAAATTGAAATGGTATCTCTTCTGAGAGACATTGAAATGATGTCAGGAAACTTCTTATGTAGGGAAGGAATTTCAATTATCCTACTGTATGTTCCCCTAGAGATTCTGAACTCCCTCCCTCTTCTCCTCCCCCTTCTGCCTACACTTCTGACAAGAAATATTATAACAAGAGTTGATTGAATATGTGGATAGTATGGATGTAGAAAAACACTGAAAACCACTGCCCTGGCACAGGAGACAGACTCATATTCAGAAAATTACAAATTGCCATTGTACAATCTATAACATGGTGATTTTTTTAAAATTTTTAAAATTTTTTCTTAAATTTACTGTGGTGACATTTGTTAATAAGAAGATCATATAGGTTTCAAGTGCACATTTCTATAATACTAGATCTGTATACTGCACTGTGTGCTCACTGCCCAAAGTGAAACCATCTTCTGTCACCATATATTTGGCCCTCCCCACCCCCCTCTCCCTAATCTTTCCCTTTGGCAACCACCACATTGCTGTGTGTCCATGGCTTTCAATTATATATCCCACACATGAGTGAAATTATATGGTTCTTGGATTTTTTTGACTAACTTATTTCACATAGCATATATTCCCAATGTCCATCCATGTCATTGCAAATGGTGGTATTTCATCCTTTCTTATAGCTGAGTAGTGTTCCATTGCATATGTGTATCACATCTTCTTTATTCAGTCCTCCAGTGAAGGAAACTTTGGTCACCTCCATGTCTTGGCCACCATGAACAATGCTGCACTGAACATAGGGGTGCATTTATCTTTGTGAATACATGTTTTCAAGTTTTGAGGGTAGCTACTTAGGAGAAGAATTGCTGGGTCATGTGGTAACTCTTCTTAATTTTTTGAGGAATCTGCTAGACTTTTTTTTTTAATTGGATAATAGAAACAAGCCACATGAACATACCTGACCACATGTTTCCTGTCCTGTTTCCAGGAGTGTTTTACATATCCAACTTCAATCAATAAGTATTACAAATCTATTCAATAAATTTCTCTTTTTTTCCCACCACCTCTTCTTTAATCTAGTTTTCCATCATCGTTTACTTGGATTACTTTAGCACCTCCTAACTCATCTCCCTGTCCTCTAATCCATTAGATCCAGAATACTCTTTCTTTTTTTTTTTCAAATTTTTTTTTAAGATTTTACTTATTTATTTTTAGAGAGTGAAGGGAGGCAGATAGAGAGAGAGAAACATCAATGTGCGGTTGCTGGGGGGTCATGGCCTGCAACCCAGGCATGTAACCTGACTGGGAATCGAACCTGCGACACTTTGGTTCGCAGCCCGCGCTCAATCCACTGAGCTACGCCCGCCAGGGCTCAGAATACTCTTTCTAAAACACAAATTCGGTGATGTCTTTCTCCTGCTTTTATACATTCAAAGTCTAAACCCTCAGTGCAAATTAGGATAACCATCCCTGTGCACCCACCTCTGTGCATCATTCAATATTATAACTGCTTGTGTAGTTATCTTTCTCTAACACTACATGGAAAACTCTCTGAAGACTAGTTTATTCAGCAATGAATGAACCTAGCACGATGCCTGGCTCAGTGTAAGTGCTTAAGGGTATTTTTTAGATGAGTGTAGGATGTCAGTGTAGAGGTCATTTTAAGTGAATTTGAATACATAGATAAAATCCAGATGTAAGAGATGCTCAGTAAGGGTTTGATTGAATGAACTGATAGCTAATGAAGGTTAGTAGACTAAGAACAGACATAGACAGTAGAACCCTGAGGAACACTGACATTTTACTGAGTGGTAGAGAAAGGTAAAATGTGAGTGATTGAAAAGATGGAAGGAAAGCTAGGAGAGAATGTGGGAGGGCTGCCAAGAGGCAGATAATGTCAATAAATGCAGCACAGAGACAGGTGAATGAATGAGTTAAATGAATGGTGGTCAGCAAATTTGGTTAAATACATTCCACAAAAGGCAGTTGATAACAACAATATGTCAAAATGTCCTCTTAGTCTCTGTTGTGTCCTGTTGTGCAGCAAAGTTGAATATCATCAGGACTGAGAAGTGTTTATTGAATTGGGCAATTAGGGGATCCTTGATAATCAACTGGATAATTATTATAGTTTTAATGGAGCATTTGGTGCAGAAGCATGGGGTGGGAATGGAAGTAAGGAAGGAGGGCAGAAAGTATAGACCACTCTTGGAAGGAAAGGGAAGGAGACATACAGTATTTGACAATAACTGAAATGAGACTCTAGAGAAAAGGGGGATTTCTGTTTGTTTGTACTTGTAGATGGGAGACATGTGAGGACATAAGCACATTTGAAGGAGGAAAACTGTACCTCCCCCCTCAGTGCTCACCGGAGTCATGACCCCTCAGCAGATGCTTTGGTCCTGGACAAAGTCTGCTGAATGTGTGGATGGATAGTAAGTCAGGGAGTGCAGGTGTTGAGTAGGCAACATCAGGAGTCAAGGAGGTGGAGGTGAGAAACACTTCAACACTGTCTGTGCTTGTGAGGCCTGGGAAACATAGTCCCCAGCAGAAGATTTTGGGTAAGAAGGGGCAAGCATAGACCCTGAAGTTGTGCAGGTACCACTGCTTCTATAGAGCAAAACACAGGGGTCACAACCGCTGCTTCTAGAGCAAAGTGCAGAGGGCCATGGGCCAGGACATGACCTTAATTTTTCCCCTTTCAAATTTCCAGCTTTGCCCATTGGGTGACTTAATACTTTTTTCTGCTTTGTATTTTCTTTATATTTCTCTAATAATGATAATGATAATTATACTGATGATGATGGTGATAATGATAATAATCATAGGCCAGGTACTGTGGTAGGTGCTTTTATGAGCACTAATTTCATTCAGCTATAGATAATATTCTTATCCCCCTTTCACAGATCAGTAAAATAAGTTGAATAAATGAATACTTTCTATTAATTTATAGTGAAGTCAGTGACAACATAGAATTATTTTAATACATTTTTTGTACTCAAATCTTAAGAAAAATGTCTTTCCTAAAATGATGGTATATAGAAGTTATAGATTTGTAAATGTAGTTTGGGGTTAAATACATTCCATAAAAGGCAGTTGATAACAAGAGTATGTCAAAATGTTCTTTTGATATCTTCTGTGTACTTGGTGGGTTGTGATATAAACAAATGGAATTTAGAAAATATGTAGCATTGGGTTGGTTACCTTTTCCAAAGTTTTATATCTTAAGTAATGAAAAAAATAATTTTAAATTGTTTAATATTCTGTTTCTAGTAATTTGTTTTTGAAATTAAAATATTTCTCTTGCCTCATGGGTAAAA